GAAACCAATTCATCCAAATTTGTTCAAGTTTTAAGCTAATTTGTACTTAAGCTCTAGAATAGTTCAATAACTTCTTGATACAATAGCAATCAGTGCGTATTTAGTCTTTTATTCTAATTTCTGATATTTAAACGTCCAGGTCAAGTAACTAACTCCTTATCTCCTAATGGAGATTATTCGCTACTATAGGGTAAAGCTAGCCATTAGTAGCTGGCTTCTAGAAACTGACTGAAAATTTGAATAAAGCTAGCTACTAGTAACTGTCTACGACATGTGAGTACAGCTAGCTACTAGAAATTAAACTGACATAAAATGTGAGTAAGAAGTACGAGAAAAACTGACTTAAAATTGAGTAAAAAGGTGCTAGGTTACAAATATTAATTTAGCAAAAAAATAATAATGTATTGAATGCATTTTTTAAAAATAATAATCTCGTATTTTTTCGTTAGACAAAATATATGAGATTTAAATATGTCACGTTAAATCTACCTGCAGTTAAATACTATCGTTGCGTATGCATTTTGAATTAGACATATCTTAGAAAAAACCGTTAGTGTGCCGTTCCTCTTTCTATTTATTTCGAATACATAACTTCCGTCAAAACAGTCTTCTGCTTCTATTTTTGATTTTGAATCACGAGCAACTTCGCCGTTATACGACATCACAAACATTAATCATTTTGTCACCATCAGACGACTTTGATATGTCTCTAGGTGGCGGGCATTAAGACTTTGATGTCAGTGCTAGAAGCAATCCCAACGGACTTTTGTACAGACCATCGGTCTTTGATGAGATTATCAATTTTTGGAGCATTACATATTGTGCCTATTTTACATGAAAGTTTCTACCAATGCACTTTCTTAACAGATAATACATGTATAACATAAATTACATCGATGTCTTAATTGATATACTTAGAGCTCTACGACTATTTTTGGCAAGATATGTAATATATATATATATATGACATATTTGTTTGCACAAAACAACTATCTGAATTTGGAGACTTACATAGATTTTCAATTATATTGTACTGTTTTACATAAAATTATTGTTTTTGGACATATTTTTTGGACATATTTGTTCGAACAAAACAGCTATAATGTATTATAACTGCATGGGTATTTAATTACTAATTAATGCTGCATAATTCTCCTATCAACATAAAGAAACTGACTTAATTTGTGACTAAACTGAACCTACACTAATATTTGAAAGTATTTAAAAAGAATATAATTTTCCTGAAGTCATTTTCTCTTTTTTATTAAATTATCTTAAACACACAAATGAGTGTGGGAATCTGAGCTAAAGAAAAAAAGTGATTAAGTAAAGAATTTTAAAATTTAAAGTAATAGAATTTCTCTCAGATGAATGTATTTTGCAGCAAAGCACAGCTTGTTTATTTTGAATGATTTAATACGGTACCTTAGTAATAATGTAATAATAATTTGAACTAAAGCATTTCAATGTTTAAATATATACCGGAGTTTTCATTTCTATCCTAATGATATGTTTTAAACTTAATCTTATATTTACCATTGAGAGAGAGAGAGAGAGAGAGAGAGAGAGAGAGTAGATGTCAGTACCGGTAAGCATCACTAAATTCGATAAGATTTGCACACTTAAATCACTACCAAAATAAAACGTTCCGGCGAAACATATTTGTCCATACTGCACTTCACTAAACAAAAAACAACAACAACAGTATATGTATTTTAGCGCACTGTAAGAAGACGCTAGGATTTATTTCTCAGCAAATAGAGCAGTACTATTGTAGTAAAATGTGAACCCTATTATGCTTCCCTCACCGCCAATTAAAAAATCAAAATTAAAAATCACAATTTTGTTTTGTGTGTAAAAAACTACAAACCCATGTATAATATGTAAAAATTTTAATCGAATACAGCGTGCGCTAGAAACTGAACTCTAACACTACAAGAAAATATTCAATTAACACGTCATTTCCCAAAATCTAATTTCATTGATTGTTACCCAATATACAAATATTACTACATAATGAAACGAAACTCCCTTTCTACAAACCCAATTTGGTTACATGCCGTTAGGGCAACTATTTCTAGCTATACTATCGCGAGAAATTATATAGCACTTTTGGAGATATACAAAATGCATATCAAAAAAATTCCATTAAGACGATAGGTCATGCTGACACGGACTGAAACAATATGAGGATTCATGCTGTCTTATGAAACAAAGTGTGTGTTAAATGTAGAATAAGAAAAATTCCTCTTATAGATTAGATCAAGACTCTTTATTGAAACATTACTTCCTGTGAAAAAATGACAATTTTTGTATAAATTCCAAGAAAAGTTAGAATAAGTATACAAAACATCTTATGTGCAAATTGCTGTTTAGGGCATTTTTCTGAATCTGAATTTCAATCTGAAACACTTTGATTTAATATGTTCTTGGATTTTCGAGGGTCCGTGTTCACAGATTAGTTATCTTTACCTTTTTCATTTCAAAAGTTATTACTTACTCTTAGTCTTATGACAATTTGGCAATCTTTTAGGAAATATGATTCCGCATTTGTCGCACTTGTACTGAAACACACACACACACACACACACACACATATATAGAGTCATCATTTCGTAAGTTTTATGGTCAATACAATGACCTTGTCAGCAAATACAATTTATCATTGAGTGAAATGCTGACTGACGTTTTTCATACTAATTGTTAGACCATTATTTATACACTGAATTGTCGACGGATTTTTTCCGTTATTTCCCGATCATGACAAGGAGCACACGGCGGGTATGACCAGTCGGCAGGGTGCTCACTCCCCCATGGCACCTGATCCCACCTCTGATGTTTGGAGGTCCGTGTTTGCTCTGCTCCTATTTTGTATTGTTTAATGGACTTTTGAGCTTGAATACTGTTCGTTATATCCATATATTTCATATATATATATATATATATATATATATATATATATATATATATATATATATATATATATATATATATATATATATATATATATATATATATATATATATATATATTTCAGTACAAGTGTGAATGGTATTTCCTGAAGCAGTGCCAATTGACGCGGCAGGATTTTTCATCATTATAAAGGTTCTTTTCGAACTTTGAAACACTCAGCAAATGAACAAAAATGTTATCATTCAAACTGATTAATATAGTTGTTTTCTTCTAATTACGAATTTGGATAGTACATATTAAGTGTACATTGTGAATTGCACAATACAATGTTTTCATGCTATGCATGCAATCAAAATCATTTAACATAATTATTATACTTATATACCTACCTATCTTCTCTCACAATTTAAAATTCAATGTCTTCAATTTTGCAATTTACGCAAATATATTTTTCGTGCAGACGACCGTGTTTAATGCCCAAAATACATATGTTTAAAAGATTGCTTGAGACCTATCACTGTTTTATTACATGTAAGCCATACAGTTTCAGAGCATATCTTTAGAAAAATTACAGACAACGTAAACCTTTGTATAACACTCACTAAATTATATTTTATAAAACGGAAAAGAGTATTTCTCATATCACTCACTGCCGTGCTTTCCCCTAGTGTGCACTTTTTCCTCGGATTTAAAACTGTCATTTTAATGATGATGACTTTTCGTGTGCTTATTGGAAACCTTTTGTATTTCGTATCAGGTAATGCAATTATATTTCGCTCTAATTTTACTTGCTTAGTTTTTGTTAAGGTTTTATTTAGTCTCAAGATCAGTTACATGTATGTTTTGGAAAATTATAAATTATTTCTTAAAGAACAACAACTTCACTGATCTCTTCTTGCCAAAACAAGTATTACACTGTATAACATCGTTTAAATGACGTAATAATTGCAGTGTTCTTTCTTTAAAAGATTTACTATATAGATTACTTTACTTTTTAATTAAGAGTACCGCATGAGTTTTTTTTTATACATAGTATGCAGTTAAATGGTTAAACAAAATATACTTCTGTCATCCTCCACAAGGTAATACTCATGTTATAATGTTGATGAAATGCTAATATTTCTTTCATTAAGAAAATATTGATTCGTGCTCACAAGAGTGAAATAATATGTGTTCACAAAAACATGCATATGACCAGGTGTGACCGGTCAACAGGAGTTGCACCTCTCTGGAATTTCCAGGGGTACATGTTTTTTTCACGTATTTGTATTGTTTATAGATTTTTTGAGATCGATCGCTGTTCGATATCTTCACCTCTTACATAAATTCCAAACGTATACTTCAATAGTTTTTGAAAAATAGTTACTATTTTTTAAAGGTTGAACCGTGTAACAAGGAAAATCCCAATACTGTTCTTCTAATGACTAAGTGTGCTTAGGTTAAGGCAACCCGGAAAAGATAAATCGACCACAGTACACAAAAAATTTAAACTCGAACTAACATGAAATAAAGAAATCAGTGTCATGTCAAGCAGTTTTATCAGATTAGTATTTATATCCGTTTTTGTTGTAGTGTTTTTGAATAGATGACGAACCTCTACTTTAATGTGACTTTTATATCAGTGACAAATAAAACAAAGCATTATTAGTTTTACACTCAATAAAAAAGTACAAACATTTTCCAAATTAAATAAAAACAAATGAAATCATTATTTGTGAATGATATTTAGTGAACTGCAAAAGAAAATGTTAACACTTGAAAAAAATAGATGATGCAGTCAATAAATATACATGTACACCAGATCTTCTATTTTAGTTATGATCAGTAGCAAAAACATCTGATGGCCATTACTGTACTTATTACGTTGTATTCCTGAATTTGAGACTATAGTAATAAATAAATAAATAAATAAATAAAAAAAAAAAAAAAAGCTTTCATCCTTACAAAGTTTAAGTTTAAATCTTGAATATATTTTTGTAGAAATTAATTGTATATTTCAAAAAAAAAAAAAAAAAAAAAAAAAAAAAAAAAAAAAATTCCTAAAATCTTTAATTTTCTATCATTTAGGCATTACACGTACAACTCAAGAGTTTCCAGTGACTATACCTTGGACGTTTCCAATAATATCAACTTATACCACCATATATTTTCTCTCCCATGGCAATCCGGTGACATCAAGTATCTAAAAAAATATTTAAGCTTCATTGAAACTATGTTGTGTTTTTATGTTGTGTTTAAACATGTTATTAAAAGAAGTTAGCTAAAAAGAAACTGTTGTTTTTACCTTTTCATAACATGTAGATGTATTGATGTGCATTTAAATATGTATGTATGGTATCACTGATTGTATATGAAAACAGCCAGACTTTTTGTTAATCTAATCGTGTTTGTTTAAATGAGTCAATAATAAATTCAGTTTTAAATGAACATATTAAAAATAAATCTAGGCGTAGCTATTACATGTAGCTGTTTGCATATTTAGATATTAATTTATTCAATTAATTCTGCTCACGAAATTGTGCATGTGCACAAAAAAATAAAGAAAAAAAAGTGGCAGTCAAAAATCAAAGCTGACATTCTTTTATACATTTTAGAAGAATCCATCTCGAGAGAATGTCGATTGCCTGGGTATTTATACAAAGGAACTACAAACGTAACAAAATCGGGTTTAACATGTCAACGATGGGATACACAGAGCCCACACGAACAAAACTATTACGTTTTTAGTCTTGCACAAGAGAACTACTGTAGAAACTTTGACAGAGAAGAACCTTGGTGTTATACGAGTAATTCAAGTGTTCGTTGGGAACTTTGTGCCGTGGACATTTGTAGTAGGTGCACCAACAATATTCTCCTACTGTATTGAGACTCTTTTTGATTGATCATTTGAATTTAGAGATTCAGAAAAATATGCATTCTTTATGCACATTTTATGAACTATGTGCTCTGGGTATTGTATATTTTCCTTCGTTGTAGGGTCGCCTTGTCTTAACCAGTCATTTTATACACCACAAATAAAATCACAGTGTCTGTCTGCTGAACCAGCTGGTGATCAATTCTGCAGGTAGGCTTAAGCCTTATACCAATGATGACTATACAATTTTTCCAGAGAGATATTTCAATTAAATATATATAACGAACATGTGTAACTCTACGAAACTACCAAATATAACAAATCAAGCGACATCTAGCAAATCCTTTAACTTTTACATCAAAGTTAAATAGAGTCGCATTTCAGATTTGTCTAAAATGGATTGATTGATTGATTGTATGTTGCTTAACGTCCCATTTGAGAATTTTTTTTACTCATGTAGAGACGTCACCGTATGCCTATGAAGGGCTTCAAATTTAGACCTATACTCGGGGCCCATTAAGCAGTGAGGGTTCTTTATCTCGCCAACACCTACCGTGACACGGGACCTCGTCTTTTAAAGTCCCATCCGAAAAATCTGTGATTTTCACTTTTATTGCCGGGCGCTTGGTGAAGGAACAGTCACTACCTATGCTTATGTATTAGGTTTGACGCGGCGCGGTGAAAGAGAATCGAACCTGGGCCTCTCGATGACTAAAATGAAAAGATTTAAATTGCATTGTTTTTTCACAATTCTTCTGAGGAAGGATGTGTTGAAAGATTATTTAATTGTGCAGGTTTTTAGAAATTATTTTTATATCTAAAATATGTAATAATTTGTCTGCATTTGTATATTATCATTTATAGTTTCTTCTAAATAAGACAGGGTCCCTTACCCTTTTCTAATGCCAATACTATCTTTGAAATTCCAACAACTGTTTGACATGAATGTTTTTGTAATTAAATGGGTATTATATCCACTTATTAAAAAAAAAATGTTATAGATTTACATTTTGAATGAATTTCATTTGCTAAAATGGGAATGCTATGAATATTTTTTTTTTCAGTTGGATGTGGAGTATTGTTGAATGTTTGAAGAGCCGAATTGAAAATTCTTCTGGTATTCCGTGTTCCGCTATTAAAACAAAATCTATTGCTCTGCAAAATCAAAACACCATAGAAAGATTAATTGGAAGGTCTATCTCTCAGTGTAAGTTATTTTTTTAAAAATCACTTTGCCAAAGATGTACCTTTCTTCAGCAAAATACATTGAAATTCATTTGTTGTAGAGATATGACCATGGAATCTCTTGATCTCCCCATTATCCCGTGTTAATTCCCTATGCTTCATCGACGGTTGAGGATAAAATATACCCATTTTACTCGCAATAAGAAACATTAAAAATTACAAAAATGTATTGTAGCCAGCTTACAATGTGAATAGGTAATCACCTGTCCTGATAAGAAAACTTGAATGTATTGACAATAATTTGATGGTTGTCTCGAAACAATTGCGAGTAGGTATTAAAAATAATACATTTCTTGAGGCATATATACGGAAAAGCTAAGTAAAAAGAATTCTTATCATTTGTTTGGAATACATATAATATTGTGCATTACATGCTAGCGATGTGTGTGACACCAACGTTATAGTTGAAGTACCTTTACCTTAAAGTTACTTATACATATACGTAAGGAAATTATAAATAATAATCGTTCAAAAAATGATTGATAAATAAATTAATAAAAAATTAATAAAATTTTCTTCTGAACCTTCAGTCTTTAAATAATCTTTTAAATTTCCAACTGACACAAAAATCAATGAGTATTTTATCAGAAGCTAGTAAGTATATTTTTCGCTTCGTTTTAAAGAAAAAAAAAATCTTGGCAATATATTATAATAAATACCTTTTAAGTAGATTTAGCGAGGATTCAATTTTTACATTATTAGTGAGGGTTTTGAAATCACTAAAACTACTTCCTGCTAACAATTCAATCAGCACGAAGGAGGTATGAGTAATCTTGCAAGATATGGGCAACTCGCTGAATTCATATACCAATGTTAGGCCAAATCGCTAAATATGCGCTAAAAATTATACTTATACATTATTCTCATACTATACAAAATGGTCGCACAAACATAACATTTGTATTTAAATTTGAATGAAAATTCTCTACTATTAATAGGTATTAAATCTCCATGTACTGGTTCACGAGTGACAAGTTTTCAAGGATTGGCGAAGTATGCAAACCCTTGTAATATACAATACCCGATTGACAGAGAATCTTTAGACACACAGTGTCCGTAAGTTCGTTTTATTTCATCTAGCTTAATTAAAGAACATTTTGAGTTTAGACATCACTTGGTGTCCGTCATTTTTGTCTTTGGTGAAGTCGCCTACTTCATCTCTAGGCGAGGTTACTTTATATCAAAGACTCTGTTCATTATATTGTGAGATTTTACTGCATAAACGTAAGATATTTCTTCTGTATAGGTTTAACTTTTTATTTCGACTCTTTAGAAATAGAGAACAAAGCAACTGGAATGTAACTAGCTGATAAAGTTAATGTACAATTACTGTAAACGTGGAAATTTTGACGACGTGCTAATTTTGACTATATTGACGATTTTTCTTTTCTCGTCAAAATTTCCACTCGTCAAACTTCATATCATATATATAGCGTCACAATAGACATTGATCGTTGAATAACTTTAACGCTTAATTTTCTCGGCTTCCCCCATTAGATCAAAGTTACTGTTTAATTTTTTTTGTAAATACGGTAGTTATGAAAACATATAATCATAGTTTTAAAAACCATTGAGTATGTCATAAACAATTATTACCCATGGTCATAACATTCTAACTTTGCGTAATTATCACGCCGTGTTTGACCTACTTTGTCACCTCAGGCAATCGGTCTCGTATAATGAAAACAATATACAATAGAGCCATTAATTCAATCAAATATTATACACTGTAGATAGTTTTTACAAGCAAAATTAAATTTTATTGATGAGAACGCTTGTAAATGAGTTCCCGAGGAAGTCGCGGTCCTTGCTTATAACATCGTGAACTCGCACAGAGCGGCTTAATCGTAGACGTTCTCAAGTCAACTAATTTAGCCAATGTTTCCATCAAGTTTTTGGTCCTCTAGCTTCTGGCGAACTTACTATGAGTACTAGTTTTGAAACTCGTTGTTTTAGGAGTTCTTTGTATTCATTTTTTGTTTTAATCTTGTGAAATCAAAGATATATATAACTCTTGATTCAATATTTCATCAAAATTAACACTCGTCAGTTTCCGTAAACAAAAAGTCGTCAATTTTTCAACTCGTCAAAATAACCACGTTTACAGTACTCGAAAATAAAAGTTGAAAAGGGCGAGCATACAAATTAGTGGCATGAAATAGCTACCGACTATGTTACCTAATTATCTGCACAAAGGAAATGTTTAATTCTTATGATTTTTTTTTTTTCAAAATTGTTTGAATACTATTTTGAAATCTATTGAAGATTTATGTAAACTGTATTAAAAAAAATATTGAATGATTTTTTTTTGTACACAATTTTATGAATGTTTGATCCAAAACATGATAATCTTATTTGTATAGTTTATAAAAGAATATTAATAATAGATGAAAAGAGTGAGAAATGATTAAATTGACATGATCTATATCATATTTAGCAAATTATATAAAAATATGATCAAATGTTTTTGAAATAGGTTCCACTGAACTGTCTCAGTTTTGTAATTTTTTTGTTTTAAATCCAAGGGTTTTTTTTTTACAGCAGCCAAGTGAGTAATGTTGCAATGTTGTCTCCTAAAGCTCTTTTTCACACCGTTTTCGTTTATTGATATGGGCATGAACAATATAATGCTAAAAAAGAAGACATGCAACATCATTAATGCATACTATGAAGAAATCAGCATAATAAAACCTAATCAAATAGATACTATTTCAAACGGCTGTTTATATCGTAAGGGGATTCAGGACACCTGTCATATGACAGAATTGACTACGTCATAGTCTCTGTCAATGTAGATGCTAAATGTTGTTATAATCATCGATATTTGTGTAATTTTTTCACAACTTGCTAAGCTTCAACATTCAATATAAAAGGATTTAAGAGCTGTTTTTAATGATCAAGTCAATATTTACAAATTGTGAAATTGATTGATCCCCCTCTCCCTTTCTTTATGCTGCAGTTTAACAAATATATGATCTCTCAGCGCATTGAGATCAAATACTTGTTGATTACACGGTCAGTTTTATTACATCAAAACAAGTCACAGTCATTACATTGTGATGTTTAATAATAAGAAGCAAGAATTACAATCATTTTTGCGTGTTTGGTAGCAGGGGTTTTCTGTATTTCACTCAATTTTGCTTGTTTAAGCTTTTGTGTGCATGTGACGTCAGAGTTGTTTTTCCCGTAATCGGAAAATTTAAACATGAAGCTTTTTATTAGGCTTTTGAATTGTTCATCGATTTCCTGTGTAATATTGAGGTAAGCTTCACCTTTCGATTTTGATACAGTTAATTATTAAGATAAAGGACTTCAATTCAATCGTAAATTTTAAAATATTTATCTTTTTTTTTTTCTCAATGGGTTTTTTTTTGTCGTTGAAGCTCTCTTGAAGAGTGCGTAGATTATCCAATCCATATGCAATGTGAATTTAAAACAAAATGCTGTAAGAATTTTAAAATCTGAAATATTTGAAAAGATACATGTACACATACTTTTTTTTTATTTGTTCATAAAAATTCCCATTATACATCCAATAATGGACCTGTAAATATGAAGAATCGAACCTATACAGACACTGTATGAAGCAATATTTGTGTGGCGATAACTTCTAAATAAATCAAGAAACCTGATGACCGAACTGCTTCAAGATATGTAGGACATAATAAATATATACAATATACAATATATAGACCTAATATAAATTTGAATTATTGACTAGATTTTTTTCAGCTTAAGGTCGTGTTCCTCCTAACAGATTAAAATTTATGATCTAAGTTTCAAACAATCAAGTCCTAAAGATCAATAGGAATGTCGTCATGCCGTCAAAAGTAAATAAGGTGAATAGCTTCTAATGTATGGTTTCATAAGAACTCTCAGATCCGAGGCCAAAGGGTTTTATTAATTTTGAAATCAGGTAAGATAACGTTAATCTGCTGTTTTACAGGTAAATATGCTGTTTTACGTCCCGTTCGAGAATTTTTCATTCATATAGACGTCACCATATACCGATGAAGGGCTTCAAATTTAGACCTTTACTCGGCACTCAAGGCCATTGAGCAATGAGGGTTCTTTATCATGCCAACGCCTTGCCGTGACACGGGGTCTATGTTTTTAAGGTCTAATCTGAAAGACCCGCAACTTTCACTTCAAAGTGCAAAGCGCTTGGCGAAGGAACAATTGCTACCATTTTTTTTTTATCGATTTAGGTCAGTCACGGCCGGGAATTATATCCACGACCTTCCGATCACGGAGTGAGCGCTCAGTCCTACCTTGACGGCTGAACCTGTTTTGAAATAAAACATAATCTAAAACAGTTAAAGGAATACATGAATCAAGACATTTAAAACAGAAAGAAAATTGATTAATTTCAATATTATTGTTGTCCAAAGAAATTAAAATGATCTCTAATGTTGAAAACTACAAATCAAAAATGAACTTAAAAAAAAAAACAAACTTTTGCATCCAAACAAAAGGAAAAAAATATTGTTTTTGTCTTTTATTTTCTAGTAACTTTCTACGTGTAGCAAATTGCCTGCTTTCCAAAATAGGTGATGAAACAAATGAGACTTGTGTGGCAAAGGATAAAATTTCCACTGCAAGGACGTTTTCATCTCTTATACCCCAGGATGCTGCTAATGTTAGCCTTTGTAAGAATATGCTTATCTCCGTTTAAAAATAATCTCTTACCTCTTTCTGTAGAAAGCTACAGATACAATATTATACTAAATATTTCAACTCAACTAATTTTGTGAAGCCTAGCAAAGTAAAGGCTATCAGGTTAATTTAATTTTATGATATTTTTTTTTATTAAAGTATCTAATTATTAACAGTAATAACTGTCTCTCGATTACTCATAAATCTGATATTTTTTTCCCCAGAAAAAGTTGTTGTGCGTAAATGATAACCCAGCAGTTTGTAGGCGTAAAAATGATCAAAATTATATTTACCGATTTGATTCCATTCATTTGAATTTTTAGGCATATCGAAAATGTCCGAGTTTCCTGTAGCTGCATCGGATGAAGGTATTGTTATACATTTCATATGATTACAATAACAAATTATGCTTACTTTACGAAAGGGGGTTGCAAATCTGTTTTAAATTAACATATGGTTTAAGTACATAATACATGTAATTTTTTGTTATAATTAAATTGAATGTCCGTTGCCTAATAATACAAACATATTTTAACTGCATTTAAATTATGGTTTGATACGAAAATCTGTCTTAATATTGCATTACCTAAGGTATACCATTTTAGTTTAAAGGAAATTTCATCTGATGTATACAGAAAAGAAAATTGATAATAATAGGGAAAAACTGACATTTACATTAGAACATTTTTTTCACCATCATTTTTTTTATCGGTTTGTAGCTCACTGCCGAAACCTTGCCTTTATTTGCTAAACGAAGACAAATAATTATCATAAAACTTAAATACAGCCATTGAAGAACAAGTGTGGGTTTTTGAGGAGACTGAAGGGTAAAGTTAAATTTTAAAAAATCTCGCATCACTTTTAATTATACTGCGATTTTCCTCCATAGATTTACCAAACGCGGGGCAGATTTTGGACACAAATGTAAATCAAACTCCAATGTTTGGTAAGTTAAATATAAACCAATAAGTCGTTTTAAGTGTATATAGCAATGAAGCATTTTCCCGGTGTACGTTTATGAATATTCAATATTCAATTACGTCGATTACTCCTTTTTTTCCCAAAGAAAATAAAAACACATGCAGGAAAAAGTGACTGGGTATTTGTGAGCTCTCTCTCTCTCTATATATATATGTACTGAAACGCAAAAGAAACGCAACAAGCAATAATCTACAAATATTTGAACCTTTTAACTAATGATTTTCAAAACTGATTACAGTTGAGTTAAACTCGATTTAAAAACATCAGAGATTTGATAACAATGTTAAATGATTATCTTTTAACTTTAGAAAGTAACACGTTACTGTTAAAACACCCCCCTTCTTAGTCATTCAAATATAGCGTGGAAGACTGCCATGCACAACAATTGCAGCTTGATTTCCACGATGCAATAGGTTCATCAATCTCGAGATCTGAGCGAAAAAAATATTCTTTGCCATTTTCAAATGTCCGTTTTTCAGATGACGAAGTCGAATTTTCTCTAACCTAGCGCAGTGCAGTAACACTTGGACTTCCGGTCCACGGACTATCATTCATGCTAATGATACGTATGAGCCTGTTGAGGCGTGTTGTCGTGCATTTTTGCATCTGCAATTCTCCATCACCTTTATTTTCAGATTTTCCAGCTACAGCATTTGAAATGCGTACTTAAGTCATTTTCAGGAAGCCTTGACATCTCTTCCGGAAACGAAAGAAGAATTTATTTTGCAGAATATTTGCTGCATTACTTATGATTAACAGATACAAACCCTTAAAACCCCATATTTTTGTCAAATGTTTTGCTAAACATGCAATTTTTGAATTCTGTTAAGCGGGCTCAAACTTAACTTCCGTTTATGGCATGAAAATCATTCAACCGTTAAATTATCGATACTTACAATGTTGAAGATATCCGTACTTTTTAGATACAAAATTTTATCCTTTATATAATTTTACCCCCTAAAATAGGATGTTGCGTTTCTTTTGCGTTTCAGTATATATATATATATATATATATATATATATATATATATATATATATATATATATATATATATATATATATATATACCGTATAGAGGGTTTCTTGGTGATTGTAAAATTTGGCGTTTACTTGCTATAAGGTATGCAAATATTTTAGGCGTATTTTGTCTTAGAGGACAAAAAAAAAAAAAAAAAAAAAAAAAAAAAAAATGTCGTTACAAAAGAAATCTCAAAGGAGTATTGAATATTATATTTTATCTTCATTTTATAGCGTATATTTATTAAACGTAACTAAAGTTGCAAATATTAGCTCAGAGATCCCACGCGTCCAAAATAGTCATTTAAAAAGTAAAAACAGGTGCACCACTTATTTAAGGTTGAGACTTTTGTTCTCCACTATTGTTAAATAAATCCATGACGCTCAGGCATTACGTTCCCTTTCATTCCCATGGATTCTTGGATTGAAAAGTCAGAATAGACAACTATATATAGTAGCAATTGAATTTTCTGCTATACAAAATATTCTCAAACGACACCTGCCCGAGCACTCTTATGCCTAAGGATGATTTGATAATGAAAATAATGAAGAATAATTTTTGTCTAAAGAAAACATCATTATTCTTTAAACGAAGTACTTCTTAAGAATTGCTTTCAAAATTTGTTGTGCTGTCTTTACCAATGACACCTTGATCATGATTTGCAGTAAACTTGCAGCAGTATATGCCAAACAGGTGGAGATCTTGTATGAATATTCTTCTCTTTTTTGTCAACTTAAAGATTCCTTGATTGATAAGGATTATTCAAGATATCGATTTATAGGAAAACTAATCCCCTTGAAGGGATTTGTATATATGAAATGAACAAAGGTACCCCCATGTAATTGACGTCATACAAGCACATTTACAAATACTAATTAACAACAAGAATAGGATCAAGTGTTGCTTTCAGACTGTTATAAAGCAAAGAAGTATTCATTACTAGAATTAAACATTTCAGTAAAAAAATATAAATGTTAAGAAAAGCGTGTAAAATCTCGTGAATGCTATGAAAACGCACTGTTGAGGGAACGAAGGTACTAAGAGAATACAAAGACTATGTATGGCAGTAACAGTATATCCAAGGTTTGAAAGTTTATAAAAGTTTTCCTCCTAAACATAACAATGAAAATCCTTTTTCAGTTGGCATAGGATTGGCTGTTGTTGTTATTTTTGTTGGTATCTTGATTGTCAGCCTAATTACAATGAGGTAAGAATATATTCAGAGTGCTCTTTTTCAGAACACGTATTGGAAATCATTTTAACACATATTCTCTTTCAGTAATGTGATCGTATGTTTTAGTGCTTTGTAGATGCCAAATCTTTAAGAACAAAACATTTACCTCTTTGCTATTGAGCTTTGAACTATCCATGTAACCACATAATGAAAAAATTGTCACAGAATAACGTTGTAACAGACTCACACTTTTTTTTCTAATCCTACGACTACATATATGTAAATATATTTTGTTTATATATTTGTATGCTGCATTTACTCTCTTTAACAATCCCGTTATTTTATTTTTTGATTCAGTTAGGTTCTTGTTCATACAATGTACTTAATGTGACAGGGAATTAAGGAGAGAAATATGCAAAAATGATTTTGATTTGAAAAAAATATGACGATAACGAACAGTAATTAAAATTAAATCTTATAAATAATAAATTAATTATGCAATTAACACCAGAATAAAAAAAAATATTTATATGTTATAAAAAATGTTGGAATATGCTAATTTAAAAGACCCTCACTGATTAAATTGATAATCCCCCTCCCCAAAAAAGACAGCAGAAAACATCTTATAAAGAAGCTTTGGTTGACCTTTTTTTTTTATCTTATACGCAGACACAGAAAGAATGTTCTGATATTGTGTTATCAAGAGATAGTGTAATGTGTTCATTCTAGTGCTTGAATGTACAAGATGATATGTTAAGAAGACGGGTGAACAAGGTGTGCAGAATTCTTATAGATTCAGATGTATAAAATCATATTTAATTTGTAAATCTAGTATTTTAAGTAAAGGTCTCATTATTGGTATTTTTGAAATTATGATAATCAAAACTTTTCTGAGGGCAATTTTCTCAACCAAAATTATTCTGTTATTAAAAAACACAGTGTGTATTCCTGGGATTCGAACCCTAGCAATAAAAATATTCAGTATCATTTTCCTTTGCGACTAACATGCTAACCACTACTCTACACAACTCCTGAAGAACAGTGGCATTTAAATCATGTTTGTGATAGGACCCTTGACAAAATGGACTTCACGTTTTTCTCGGAAATATGCGAACGTTGTGTAATAAAAGTATTTTTAAGGTAAAATGGGTCTTTGCTCCATGTTTTTTGTTAACCAAAAATGTATATTTTGAAGCAAACCTTGAGGATAAACGTTAAAAAAATTGGTGGGAAGTCCCACTCATATCGAAAAATTATGTTATAATATGAGAAAACAATCCTTTTTGCCCTCTTTAGTGTGTGTTTGCTATTTCAAAGGCAAATAATTTCAAACTTTTTGAAATATTTGCAAATAGTGGAGATTTTACATAAAGTATTCTTTAATGTTAGGTAAAATATTAAAGAAAATTTTGTTATAATTGAGATTTAATTTTTAATCTTCATGTTTGTCGCACTATAGGCATTTTGCTCGCCTTGTTCACCCATCTTCTTTCAGAATGTCTTTTGATCTTATAATAAATAATTTTTATCTATCCCTTTTTCAAACATACTGTACGTGAGTAATAAATTATAACATCTGAATCGAAGAGAACACTCTTTTCCTTCTAATGTTGAATAAATAAGGAAATTACATTTCGAAAATTAATGTTCTAAACATTCATGGAAGTTGCAGATGGCAAATTTTAGAAATATGTTAATTTTATTTATAGCAATATACTAATTCATCTTGTCTTCTAACGCAGAAAAATGCTTTTGAAAAAGAGAAGAAAAGAACTATTGCGCCTTCCAAGTATTCCAAAGACACAAAAAAGTCCATATGAGGCAAATTGTACCTCACCAGTTGATACATACATTGACCCTGACTATGAAATGATTGAGGAACAAGACGAGGGTTATCAGCAATTGGGTGAACAAAGAGGCGGATCTTACGTTGATCCCAATAATGCAGATGGCACTTACCTCGATGTAGTCCCTACCTCAGACGAAAAAAGTGACGCCAGTTACATTAATGTTAGCCCTTACATAGAGTTGAGAGATGACTCTACTGAAAGTACATCTATAACAAAAATAATTGATAAAGTCCGGGAACCTAAAGAAAACAGTGCCAGTTCCGAAAATATGACACCAAGCTAACTAACAGAAGTATTAAAAACGTGATCGACACTGACCTTGGCTAGTATTAAGTGAGTCAAAACCAAATGCAATACGATGCCATACATCATTAAGTCATACTTCTCATGAAATCATAATTTTCAAAACATACTACATTATTTGAAAGGAAGTGAAAGCATGAATTTTATGATTTTTTTTCATAGCTCCTGAAAATGAGCTGTGATTGTAAGGAGAATTGATTATGAAACGATATTTTATTATCACGTTTTGGGAGCTTGTGAAAGGTGAAAAAATGTTTGAACTTTATCATGTTTTATTGCTTGTTTTGCAGAATTAAATATCATAAAATACAGTCCTTATTGTGATATTAATAAAGAACGAATGAATTTTTTTTTTTCAGAGAGAGAGAGAGAGAGAGAGAGAGAGAGAGAGAGAGAGAAAGAGCTTTGAATCATTGTCACAGATTGTCGAGCGGATTTATCTTTTAATTAATTAAAATACAACTCAAATGCGTTTGTTTACAATTTACATGTTTAATTAATGATGATACTATATACAAATGTCATTGTTGTTGTTTGTTCGTAATTTCCCGTCTCGCCGCTGGCTTTTCCACCTCACAGGCTGGAGGATGGACTATAGGTTCCAAAGCTGGCTGGCCTATCTACTACACGCCATGGGCGGACTTTAGGCACTGGGTGGCCTCACTATTGTACAAAAAACTCTGACATATGGATGGAACCTGCTCCAACATATACATACAAGTTTTACTTACAAGCTCTAGTGGCTTTACACAAATACACATTACACTCATTATCAGATTAATCGATAATGGACACGTCTTAGATAAGACTCAATTACACACACATGAGTTGTTTAAATTATACATACAACTCTTACACAATTGCAATATTGCGAATTGCTACTTTACGGACAACAATTTTGACAGAAATTGTACACCGTACTTTGAAATATTTAAATACGCGTTACTATAGATAGAAATCAAATTAAAGGAAACACACATGCTAAAAATGATGAGAAATGCGGTGACTGGATGTTTTAGAACAAATGAATAATATATGGGAAATAACTAAAATAGAATTATAAATATAAGCCTTACCTCAGAAAAGCTGGACCATTACACTGCTAAAAATAATATCAGACCGGAGCAAGCACTGCCATGAATCACAAGGGTACATACATGTAAAAACAAAGATATAAGAGGAGATAAAGGCGTCCTCCTCTCTGGACTGCCGCGTCCAAACTAACTGGCACGGACTGGCGGGTTTTAAGGTCCAGTGAACTGAGGTTCAGTGAAGGATATGTACATTAATAACACATTTAAAACGAAGGGGTTTCCCACAGGATATTTACATGAAAATTTAAAATACATTATCAAAAGTATGATAGGATGATTTTAATGTGACAATCATATTATAATTATTATAATTCAATCCAAATAAATTTTTGGAAGAAATCTTTTTTTCATATTGAATTGTGTATTTTATTCGATTTATGTCTCATGATTAATTTAACAATCACATATATTTCAAACAAGGTTGCTTTAGGTGCTTTATACGAATAAATGATTGATTGGTTGTATGTTGTTTTACGTCACATTCGCACCGAACTTTACTTTGTTCCTTTGAAACTTTAAAATAGTTTACTTGAAAAGGTCAAGGAAAGTCCATTTTTTGATTCCTCGACAGCAGAATACAGGCTCGGATCTGTGGTTATGGATTTTGCAAATCATAGGTTTTTTAAACAAGAAGAAAATGCAGCTAAATCAACCCGTTTTTCCTTAAACTTCAATATGTCAATAAAGGAATTGACACAGTTAATAAAGGTAATATTCTTAATCACAAAAGGGTCCGGTCTTGTATTCAACCATATCTCAAGGTGAAGACTACACCTTGTATTTCCTACAAATATACATCGACTATTGCTTCCAAACTTTTAAATTGCAAGAACATTTTACAGAGCCCAGATATCGAATATCTGAAATATAATCCTCCTTCGTGTTCATGTTCTTCTTCACCCTATAACTATAGTCCTGCTGGACAAGTTCTTACTGGTGACATAAATATAGTTAATAATGAGGACCTTAAATCAATAGTTTTAAAAGGGTCAAAATTTAGGGAACCCCGATCTTTTAACTGGTGTCATAATTTCATAAATATTGTGGATTCTGTGGAAGATTATGCCAGGCGATGGGCTAGTCATGAAAAAGAAGACCTTGACACGCTGTCAGACTGGATTAAATGTATAAGAGGTATGTTAAAATCTTGCATTAAGCAATTGAGGGGCAAAATGAAAACCGACTATACTTCTGTGTTCAATAATTTAGAAGTTAAAAGAGAATTACATAGAATACACTATCAGTATGTACTGGTCCCTGCTGACAAAGCAGGTAACATTGTCTTTGTTTGTAAGGCTCATTATTTAAATTGTATTTAAGAAGAACTGGGATTTGATTCTGCAAGTGGCAATCCAACTTATATCCATAGCTCCCTTTCTAAGGAGGAATTTTTTCAAAATCGTATGTCAGTTTTGAATATTTTTCATATTCCCAACAACCAAAATGAATTTGAATTACCGTATCTATATTGGATTCCGAAACTTCATAAAAATCCTTATAAACAAAGATACATATGTAAATGTTTTACCAAGCCTCTTTCTTTACTCCTCACTTAAATATGAACAGCAGTGAAGGAGAAACTTCAGGAGTACTGTGCAACAGTATATTTGAGAAGTGGTGTAAATCAGATGTGGATATTTAAAAACGCCATGGAACTTTTGAAAAATTTAAAATCACAAAATTTTACGAAAATCAATGACATAAAAACGACTTTTCAACTCTGTATACAACCATTCCCCGTGGTAAATTAAAGCCCAGGCTTTTTGACATCATTGACAGTTGCTTTTTTCAATAAAAATGGGGCTCTATTGATTACATTGTGAAAATGCATTAAATCTTTGAAATTCTTCTCCTCTGCTCCTGGGTATGAAATAAAGTAACTTAGTATATAGTTATAATGAGCATGGCTGTCTCTTCCAAAATTGTGAATTTCATGGCCCCTCGGTCAGGGGTTCTAGTGTTAGGGCGGGGCTCTATTGATTATATAGTGAAAATACATTAATTCTTTGAAAATCTTCTTCTCTGCTCCTGGGTATTAAATAAACAAACTAAGTACATAGTTATGATAAGCAAGAGTGTCTCTTCTCAAATTGTGAATTTCATGACCCCTGGGTCAGGAGTTCTGGTGTTAGGGTGGGGCTCTATTGATTATATAGTGAAAATGCATTAAATCTTTGAAAATCTTCTCCTTTGCTCCTGGGTATGACATAGAATAACTAAGTACATAGTTATAATGAGCATGGCTGCCTCTTCCAAAATTGTGAATTTCATGGCCCCTGGGGGAGGGGTTCTAGTGTTAGGGCGGGGCTCTATTGATTACATTGTGAAAATGCAATATATCTTTGAAAATCTTCTTCTATGCTCATGAGTATTAGAAAAATTAACTAAGTACATTGTTATGATGAACATAGCTGCTTCTTCCAAAATTGTGAATTTTATGGCCCCTGGGGCAGGGGTTCTGGCTTTAGGGCGGGGCTCTATTGATTATATAGTGAAAATGCATTAAATCTTTGAAAATCTTCTCCTCAGCTCCTGAGTAAGAAATAAAGTAACTTAGTATATAGTTATAATGAGCATGGCTGTCTCTTCCAAAATTGTGAATTTCATGGCCCCTGGGTCAGGGATTCTGGTTAAGGGGGGGGGGGGACTCTATTGATTATATAGTGAAAATTCATAATTTCTTTCAAAATATTTTTTCTACTCCTGGTTATAAAGCAAAGAAACAAGTGTATAGTTATCTTGAGCAAGGATGCTTTTTACAATTTTTTTAAAACTTGTGGTCCCAGGGGTTCTGTTGTTTCTCTGAGAGAGAGAGAGAGAGAGAGAGAGAGAGAGAGAGAGAGAGAGAGGGGGGGGGCTCTATTGATAATATTGTGAAAATGTGCGAATTCTTTGAAAATCTTCAACTAATTGCATAGTTATGATGATTAGGGTACCTCTTCCAAATTTGTAAATTTTCAACATCCGGACCATTTAGTCAAGTGTTCTGGTCCTGGCCAGGGCTCTATTTATTTGTATTCTACTGAGTGAAGTTATTCCCCTTTGCCATTCACTTCTGATAATTAATCACTGTAGATAATGTATTTGAAAGGTTAATATAATAAGAGAATTTCATAGTTTTAATAATCAGGTAGACTTGGAAATAATAGATAAATAAAAATGAAAGAAAAATAACCTATCTTCTTAAATGTTCTTCAAAGGCCAAGTGAGGCCAATGTGAGGGGTAATAATGTAGACATTTTGTTAAAAGTCTGCATGGTGATAGTGATAAATGGGGGACAGATAGAAAGATACTAGACCAATTATTTTGCTGATCTTAATCATACTAATTTTCTTGCTATTGGGTAACAATTAAAGCTTTATTTATCAGTTTATGGATCCTCTAAATTGTTGTACTCAGGTGACCGTTAAGGCCCTTGGGCTTCTTGTTTAAACCGTCGTCGATATATCTTAAAAAATATATCTGTAGAATTGAAGGCTGCAGCAAGAAACTTCCTTATTTAATTTAAAACGTTTTATTTCATATATAGCAGGATAAAATTCGTCTACATATGAATACACAAATAGGTCTGTTAATAAGGGACGCAATTGGAACCCATAAGAATTCCGACAAATTGTTGGAAGACTTGATTTCCGAAAAAATATACAGATATTGTTAATCAGAAACTCAAGCATCTTAAAATGAACTCTGAGTATTTGTGTTTACAAATAGAATGTTTTTAACAAAAAGTTATGCAAATTACCAATAACAAGGTAGGTAAATTTATCAGTTTTATTATTTTTTTTTAAAAAGCAGTTGTCTATGATGTCAAAAGGCTTGGACTTCTAAATTGAATTCTAATTCAAATTAAATACTTAAGCAGGTAAATTTAATTAATTATATTTG